TTTTATCTTTGGCAATTTTTTGGCATTGTACTGAGAGTACTGTTGAGGGATGTCATTCATAATTTAAAAAAAAGTGGGATTAAATATTTGCGCTTACTTTGTTTCAGCTGGTCCTCAAAGAACCACGGCGCTCCTCAGCGATGAACACTGTTATGGTGCAGTATGAAGATGCTGTTAGTAGACCGGTGAAATTTGGTGCTTATTGTACTGGAGCGTTAATGTTGGCTGTATTCAGGGGCAAGGTCGGTTTGTTTTTCTTTAATGGCGCTATGCATTGTTCATTACTACTATTTTGAAACAGTGCATTTTACGCCGGAAACTAGCTTCTTTCTTGAATTCTGCCCCGTGGGTTTTTTTAGACAGTTTTTAAAATATGCATTGCTTCCCAGAAATTTTCTTATGTCTTCAGAAAAGCCGGCATCTAGTGAAAAATTTAGTCTTCGGAAAACTGATAGAGTTTTCTCAACTCTTTCTAAAAGTTTCACTACCAACTGTTTTTAAAAAATTAGCTCGTCGTCTTCTCCACTACTCACACAAGGGACTTTCTTCTCATAACATTAGTCGTCTTGTCAACACATTTGTGCACAAAATACATACCAGCTTTCTAAATATTTCCCTCCTACGGTGGCCCATTGTCAGCGTCTGATACACGCTCTTCTACAATAACTGTACCACCCAACATGCGCATATAAGTCGCGTTGTTAGCGTTCCGTTCGTATTGCTACTTCCTCCTCTCGACACTTCTCCAATTCCACATTACGACCTTCTAATCCTTTTCAAATACCCTAAATTCATACTTTTTAAAAAAATTCTTCCTGTTCCTATCTTCTTTCTTCCTGCGTTCCATTTCCTCTTCTTCTCATCTCTGAACACTGCGACCGTCATACTGACGAGGTCCATTCGCGGTGTTGAGCTAAGACGTATATGACTTCATGGACCGAAACGTCTTAACTCTCACCTTCTTATTTTTCCTGTACCAGCAATATTTCTACCTCTCGCATTACATACTTCGTTCTATTCTTGCCTTCTTTTCTACGTTCTTCATATTACTTTCATGCTACAATTATGCGATAATCAGATTAACTAATTCATAAACTGTAACTTCCAGCTATGTAATGCACTGTGATTTGTTCACTGCAGAATTTGATAACTGAAAAACGTATTGGCTCGGCTGCTAGAGCATTTTATCTGTTCATTAGAGACGGCCTCTTAAAATTCAGCTATGGCAGCTGTTGCAGATCTGGCTGCTTGATCCACTGTGTTCTGTTTTTATGAAAGTCAATAATTTGTTACGCGATGTGTTCAGTTGTTAGGAAATGTGGCTGTCTGTTACACCACACACATCTCTTCGTAGCTCATAAAAAATTTTATTAATCGGACTGCGTTTCAGACTGCCTGAATACGC